GATGCTGGTGATGCTGATGGTGGTGGTGATGCTGGTGATGATGGTGATGCTGGTGATGATGGTGATGCTGACGATGCTGGTGATGCTGATGCTGGTGATGCTGATGATGCTGATGATGGTGGTGATGCTGGTGATGATGGTGATGCTGGTGATGATGGTGATGCTGATGATGCTGGTGATGCTGATGGTGGTGGTGATGCTGGTGATGATGGTGATGCTGGTGATGATGGTGATGCTGATGATGCTGGTGATGCTGATGCTGGTGATGCTGATGATGCTGATGATGGTGATGATGCTGGTGATGATGATGGTGATGCTGGTGATGCTGGTGATGGTGATGATGGTGATGATGATGGTGGTGATGATGATGATGATGATGCTGGTGATGCTGGTGATGCTGGTGATGGTGATGATGGTGATGATGATGGTGATGATGATGCTGGTGATGATGATGGTGATGCTGGTGATGATGATGGTGATGCTGGTGATGCTGGTGATGGTGATGATGGTGATGATGATGGTGATGCTGGTGATGATGATGGTGATGCTGGTGATGCTGGTGATGGTGATGATGGTGATGATGATGGTGGTGATGATGATGATGATGGTGATGATGATGGTGGTGATGATGATGATGATGGTGATGATGCTGATGATGATGGTGATGATGATGCTGATGATGGTGGTGATGATGATGATGCTGATGATGATGATGCTGATGATGATGATGCTGCTGATGATGATGATGCTGATGATGCTGATGGTGGTGATGATGATGCTGATGATGGTGATGATGATGCTGATGATGCTGATGATGCTGGTGATGGTGATGATGGTGATGATGATGCTGATGATGATGGTGGTGATGGTGATGATGATGCTGATGATGGTGATGATGATGGTGATGATGATGGTGATGCTGATGATGATGATGGTGATGATGATGGTGGTGATGATGATGATGATGATGCTGGTGATGCTGGTGATGCTGGTGATGGTGATGATGGTGATGATGATGGTGGTGGTGATGGTGATGATGATGCTGATGATGGTGATGATGATGGTGATGATGATGGTGATGCTGATGATGATGATGGTGATGATGATGGTGATGATGATGATGCTGATGATGATGCTGATGATGATGGTGATGGTGGCCTGGCTTAACGGGGCCATTACCGTGGGGGGAGGAGAGGACGCGCAGCATCCCCGGGCCCTGTCACCATGGAGACCGCAGCGCTCATCGCGTGACGTCACTCTCCAGAGCTCATTCGGTGACGTCACTCTCGTAGCTCGTCGCGTGACGTCACTCCCCGTAGCTGTTGTGTGACGTCGCTCTCCGTAGCTCGCAACGTGACATCACTCCCCAGAGCTCATCGCGTGACATCACTCCCTGTAGCTCATCGCGTGACGTCACTCCGTAGCAACCAACGTGACGTCACTCCCCGTAGATCATCGCGTGACGTCATATTCCGTGCTTCGCGCGTGACGTCATAACCGGCTTTGAGAGCGCGCCGCCGCTGGTTGACGAACCTGGCGGGTGACGTCACGCGGCGGCTGCTGCCGCCCTCGGCGCAGCAGGTCTCACGCCAGGGGCGGACCCGTCATAGGAACGCGGAGTTTCCACCGGAGAAGATGAGGAAATGTGATTTTGATTGTCGCCGCATCGCGTGGGCGTTTTAACAGGATGGTCCGACGTTTCGCGCTGATCACTGCGACGGGCATCAATCAGGATGAGGATCCGTTGTATGAGGTCCTGTGCGAGACTAATTATTACGAGCAAAAATGTATTAGAGACTCAATAGCAGAGGTGTGGACTCGAGTCATGTGACTTGGACTCGAGTCAGACTCGAGTCATGAATTTGATGACTTCAGACTCGACTTGGACTTGCATAACAATGACTTTGTCCCACCTCTGAGGTGTGGACTCGAGTCATGTGACTTGGACTCGAGTCAGACTCGAGTCATGAATTTGATGACTTCAGACTCGACTTGGACTTGCATAACAATGACTTTGTCCCACCTCTGAGGTGTGGACTCGAGTCATGTGACTTGGACTCGAGTCAGACTCGAGTCATGAATTTGATGACTTCAGACTCGACTTGGACTTGCATAACAATGACTTTGTCCCACCTCTGAGGTGTGGACTCGAGTCATGTGACTTGGACTCGAGTCAGACTCGAGTCATGAATTTGATGACTTCAGACTCGACTTGGACTTGCATAACAATGACTTTGTCCCACCTCTGCTCAATAGAGAATGAGACCAAAATAACTTCAACCGAGCAGATCTCGATATAAAGATATAGATAGAAACGAATTATAAATAAATAATGATATTTGTGACGCAACATGTAATTGACCGTATTGAAGCTCGCCAAACGTGTCAACCCTAAAGATTACATCCTGATTGTATCACCCCCTGTGCTCATGTAACTAAATTAATTGATATAAAACACAAACTATCTCGATCACCACTTCCTCAGTCCTAACCCCCATACGAGTCAATTTAGTTCATGTTAACTAGAATCACAAGAGCATTACAATTCCAGCTTGATTATATAATTAAGGATTTTTAGCAATCGCTAAAAAAATTATCTAACCTGCCAATCACAGCAATCAACTAGAAAACACCGATGGGATCACGTGCATGGCCGCTGTCAACGACCTGCTGATGCTGGAGATCTCTCCAACACGAGCTGTGTGCTGAGGCAGTCAACAACTTGGCACGCTGGATTCACGTGACACTTTGAATTGGCTCTGTTGGGTCGAGGATGGGTTACGACACATTCGTACACAACCTAAGCCGAATGAAACCTATCATGGATCAAGCCTTATTTTCACAACCACATCAACCGAGGTTTTGCAAACCAGCATGAATGTCTGGATGAGCCAGCTCGTGCTAATCCTGGTGACACGATACAAATGTACCCCTTCGAGCTTCAGCAGACGCAGCCAGATTATCGGGTGTTGCTACAGATCAAGTATAAAAAATATATATAATGGGAGTATTGGTTATTCATTTTTTTACATTGGATTGTAATATATTATAGAGATTGCAGGTATGGAAAAATATTTAGATTTTTTTTACCTTTGCTTGTTTCTTATTTGGCGTAGCTTACTGTTCCTTCACTTGGCATTTCTCGTTAACCTTGACAAAGAGGTTATGCTCGTGCATCCCCGTATCTGACTCCCCTCCCTTTAAACATAACTCTTGTTCTTAAGGTAATCCTAGTGGGACTTTGTAAATGGCTTTTGTTTTATTTAGGTTTGTGAGATCATGGATGAATGCATCTTGTCCATTGCCCCACTTCAGTTTGTATTAGTTTGCCATTGTGGTGATTTGAACCAGCCACTTTCAGACTGAGGTCACCTCTCCTCGCTCCGAGCCGTTTTCTTACACATACATGGGGCCTCGGATTGTGCAGAGGGCTGCGCCAAACGCATGTGGCTGTGTGATTATAATCAACACAATTGTGTGATTATAATCAACACAATTGTGCAAAAAGTAAATTGCGGGACTTGAACCCAAGCTACGAACCGTGCTCTGTGGCTTTGGCGAATGCAGATGTAGTGTAATAGCGCCGACTAGTCCAGCAACGGCAACTGCGGTGGACGAGCAGTACACACGCCGGTGAGCATGTACACGGTGTGTGGCAGGGCGGAGGAACAGGGGCAAGGGTCATGGAAGAGCTCATCTGGAAGCCCCTGGAACCTGCTAGTGGGTTCGAGAAGGGAGAGCGTGGCTGGCGGTTCTGGGAGTGGACTCATCTTGTCGTCACTGTCGTCTTCGCTAGATATTGCGCGGCCGGATAGTTGTTGGCTGTCTCGGTCGGCGCTGTCGGTGCTACACGGTCAGGGTTGTGTCAAGGCGAGACGACTAAGGAGAGCTTGAGGGCAAACCTGTGAACCTGAAGGTGCTAATAAAGGCGCTCCTGAAAAACCTTGTCTCCCGCTCCGCTGATACTACGTAAGTATCGCTTAGGTTATATCCTGTTTAATATCGTGGTTTAAAATGTATCTTGTTATAAATACCTAAGCATCTGTAGGCCACCAACATGTTTTTTTTTACAATATTAAACAAATGAACAGTTAAGAAGCCATTTCAAAATGTGAACAAATCCTAATAACGTGGATAATTAAAGTCACACTTTGGAAATGATTTGGCGAGAATTAAGAGACCCGGTACTTGGGAATAAATTCACGGAGGGTGTAATTATACGGAAAGGATGTGCCGACATTGGCCGGGGGGTGGCCTGGGGGGGGGGGGCAATCTTCGGGATGAAAAATTATGTTAAATTGCCGCACGCCGTTGGTGTATATGTCCATCCTCCAGCATGACCACGACTGATGTGGTGTCGGCTTGGGAAGCGTCTCATGTTGCAGCCAACTGGTCGAGAACAAGGTCCTTTAGTTCGCTGAAAGCCCGGGGAATGAAGATGGACACCTGGGTGGCTTAAGCAGGAGCTCTCACCAGACTCGGCAATGCCTGCATGTCTGTGAAGGATTCGAGTTTGATGCTTCTCTAACGTGTGATCTGGTTGATACTCTCTCATAACTTGTATGCATGGTAAGGCCCACTGAGCTATGTACTGTAGCTCTTTTTCAGAAGCCACCTGGCCACAAATGATAGCTCAACAGAGTGGCTTGTGTGAAATTGTATAGCAGCCACATACTCTAAAAGCCTGTTTCTAAATGAGGGGAAAACCGGATGACATGGAGAAAAATCCACGCGACCACAGGGAGAACAGGCAAACTCCAAATATACAGGTGGAATGGTTGGGATCGAACCCACGACCTCCTGTATACCAATTCTAGATTTGAAGTGTTCGTGACTGCAAGGATCCATACTCTTTGGTTCTTTCGGTAAAGTCACGAATGTGATTTTTTTTTTACTAAATTGAGTTATTTTTATTACATTTTAATTTAGTTATTTTTATTTTATTATTTTTATTTTCACCTACGTGACTTTACTGAAAGAACCAAAGAGTATGACTCCTGTATACCAGGTGAAGTAGTAAACATCTCGCCACCGCGGTACACTCAATTAAGGCCTCGTGAGGTTCAGAAATTAATTCCATATTTTTCCGCGTACAATGATATTCCCAGTGCATTACCATTATGGTGTGTAGAGATGAGTGTGTGTCATCTTGTCCTGGTCACCTGACAATGGAAGCAGCCACACCTTGGACTAGTCACAGGGACAGAGAGGTATGGGCCCGGTGGGGAGTAGAGAACTCCTCTTGTCTTGAGGTGGGGGATCAGACGATAATATCCATAAATTTACTCAACTTATTCCCAGGAAAAAATTTCACATGACGGATTTGAGTGATTTACGATGCGACTCCACTTTTAACGTATTACCAATGAATGCATGTTTTTTCTGAACTTGTTTAATATTATAATACACTTAAGTAACACATCACAATTTATATATTCATCATTTGACTTCTTTATTTTATGGAAATGGATGCCCACGTGATAAACGACATTGTTTATATTTTGTTTGGCATATTGGTCAAAGGATTGCTGCCCATGAAGTCAATATAAAATGTACATCTGTAGAGTATATAACTGCAGTGTAAAAATAACGTTTTCTGGTCCCATCTCATGTTAAGCGATTTCATGCCAAACATCACGGTACAACCAGAAAATATATCAAGGCAGCTAACCAGTCAAGAGTGCTTCAGCAACGGTTCTGCAGCATCACGTCTGTACCTCCTAAGACACTGACGTAGCAGTGATTGTGCTACAGCACTCCAGAAAGTTAATTTGAAGTCTTTTCTTCTCAGAGAAGATTCAGACCTGAGTCAGACCACCTTGAACACACTGCCTTGATACCTTTATAAAACGTGAGAGCGTTTTTTTGGCTTCCGTTTTCCTTGAATAAGATACAAGAAATCATCATCAGCCATGGTCAATGTACTGCTGGGATGAAGGCCTCAACAGTCTTCCTCCATTGCTTTATAGAAAAAGTAAAATAAACCATTAATCATGTTTATATATAATTTAAAGTCATAAAGCCCCCACAAACCATCCCCTAACCCTCACCACAAGCCTTGGAAACGACACCGCAAGTCAGATGGATCCCCAGATGTGGGTCAAAGGTCGGAAAATGATTTGTGGATGGGTTCAGGTGGACATGCGGGGACCGGCTGCGAGTTGTGAGCACGCTCAGATCTGGGGAGAAGGCACGGTGAGCATCCCTGCCAGCTTCATCTTGCCAATGCCTCCGTCAAGCACGCACACTCGCGGGAAGCACAGCGTCACCAGCTTAGCTGCAAACTGGAACAGATGAAATACAAATAACGTGAAACTTAATATTTAACAAGCACAGCAGCAGCCATTGTCTATCTGCAATCCATAATGCTCTCAGAAGCTAACTGCATAGCTCCATCTATGCTTTCAAAATCCTCGAAGATGTGTTCCGTGATTAGGGTGGTGATTGTGTGAAGGTAAGGTATAGGGTGGCAACTGTGTGTGGCTTAAGTAGTATGTATGACTGCAGCGTGTAGAGTGGGTGTAGTGATAGCGTGTGGTGTATGGGACGGACGTGCGGTCAGGGGAGGCAGAGCCTCACCTGACATTCTCCAATGAAAATAGCTGTTACAAAAAGTAAAAAATAATAAAATTAATATTAAGATTTTTCCACTGATCTGTGTTATAAACGTCATTTCTGTACGATTCCAATCGTTTTTATAGTCAAAAGCTGCGCTGCCAATACAGGAAGACACGAGAGGTGAGGCACCTCCCCTCTGATTGCGCAACCCCTCAGTAACTGGATGGAGTGCGGGCAATAAGCGCGTGCCTGTTACTATCTCAGTATGTCACCAATGTAATGTTTGTAGACCCCTTCACTTCATGTCCTCGTCTTCCATACTCAGGGTAACTTATTTCACGTTTGTTTATAAAGATATTTAGGCTCGCTGGTCTCGTCATGAAACTTCAATGAAAAAGCACCAGGGGAGGCAGCTATCACATCTGCCTCACTGAGGGGGACGTGTCTAACACGCCCCCTCAGTGAGGACACGCCCCCCTCAGTGAGGCCACGCCCCCCTCAGTATGTGAATCTGGCTCCGACACTTGCCAGTGCCTCCCCAGCCATTGACCTCACCGCACGTCACTGGTGTGGGAGTGTGCAGAGTGGCGACTGGCTGGCACGTGCGGGCACGGTGTGGCGACCGCGTGCGACGCGAGGTCGCGCACACGCACCTCAGCCGCAGCGCTCGCGGTGTGTCCGATGACGACGATGACGCGGCCCCGGTGTGCGTGCAGCGTGGATGAGGCGGAGCACGGCACCAGGGTCCCCTCCGGGGAGAAGGCGGATGCCTGCGGGATATTCACGCTGCCTGTCACGTGTCCACGGGAGAACCTGGAGGCACGGTTAAGGAAACACGCCTCCGCAGGCTGACGACAACATGAGCATCCAAAGTGGTTAAGAGCAAACGCCCTCGGGAACAGGGCTATGGATTTTCGCCGATGCGTCAAATGTCTATTAACGTGAAAAATAATGGACGTTCATTTACTGTCCTTCATTGGGAAGGAACCCCATGAGATTATATTTTTACAAGGGAGAACCGAGCATATTTAATTTTGCTACATCAGTTATTTTTCTAATGCAATGTGCTTTCGTCATGAAGTTAAAGATTTCGCCCATAACATCTCAATACCTCTGATATATACTTTACAGAAGACGGCGACTCGTAGCAATCCTCCACTCGACATTGTGAGCAGTGGCATGAGTCGATCCACTTCATTCAGAAGGGCGCATTGGAATATCCACTGACGACTAGGCTACCCACAAATCACCTGGGTCCTGTGACTTCTCCTGTGGAGGATGACAGCCACTGTACAACCTGGCACATTCCCATCATGTACTTTATAATCATACATAAGTACAATGATAAACATCAGCAAATATAAATATGCACATTCTTACACCGTAATTTCAAGAACTTAACTGAATCTTCCATAGTGTGTACATTTCACATAAAACATGGGAATACCAAACACCATGAATACAACTACCAAAGGTGGGCAACTTTTTTTTAAACGAGACATCGTTCATGTCTGAACATTAGCTTCAGAATACTCATTGAATGAAACAGGATGGTATATGTTACAAATATAATTTACTTTGGGTTCCTTTAACATTTTCATCTTTGCCCTCAGACATGCACACATGCTCCCATACAAAGCCAGGAAAACACATGCATGCACACATACAACGAATCTCCTGCTCTCTCAACTTTAGCTGAAAGCCATAAAACGTCTATGGTCCTCCGATCCCAGTTTGTGTTGTCCGTGTGCGTGGAAGGCAAGCAAGCTAAGGGATAACCTCACCCAGGCATAGGCACCAAACGTCCTGCTTGTTACGCAGAATACATTTTACCCAGGCACCGTGTTTATGCTCGCAATACTTGCCTGTAAGAGATTCGATTCGGAGAGTGCTGGCAAAAAGCTGGATTTGGCCTGAATATAAATCCGGATTAGTATTCATCGAATTCCTATGCGGTGAGGAGTCTCCTTTGGCACGAGTTTCAATTGAACTGCATTGCTCCACCCCCTCCCCCATCCCACACAGCCTTGCCTAAGCGTTATGAGCGAGGAGGCTGTAAGCGGCATCTGGCAGTACACCAGTGCAGCATAACACACCGGTCCTCACACAACAGTCCCAACAATGTCACTGTTGCTCATGGAGCAGCCAATCGTCATCATGGCTGGATGCTGCTGTACAGCAACACACTGAAGCTTCGTGTTAGCTGCTTGTAACATGAGTCTTCCGACTGCTTCGACATCACGAGAACTGACTTTGAGGAGCACCCCCGCAAGATTTTCGAACCGAGGTTGCGAATCGTAGGAAAATAAACAATTATTGCGTAAAAATTCGCTTTATGTTTTACGCCACGCACCACCGGTGTACTACCAATACGTTCACGTGCGCACACATGGGCCTGCGCCGCTGAGGCAGGATACTCCTCGGCAGTGCGCACGTCCACGGCCAGCAGCTTGGGCTTGCTGGCGCGGAGCTTGCGGCCCGGGCTGCGAGCTGGACCCGAGGGCACCGGCGCCATTTGGGTCGCGGGGCTCCGCGAGGCAGACGGACCCCGCAGCTCGCACAGCTCGATGAGGTCTTCGGCAGAGATGCGTGGACACGTCTCTTCCTTGAGCTCACTCAGGCGCAGAGGCTCCCGCATCTGCACGCGGGTGGGAGGGGAGCGATGAGAGGAGCAGACCAGGGTGTTCCTCTCGTCGAGAAAGGCGTCGCTTATTTACACTTTCTATTCGGCACATGTTACCGTCATCTGATTAGCACGGTTGGCTAGGTACTGTTCGAAAAAAGTTCAACATATACATTACAGTAGGACGGCAGGCATGACTAAACAGTGTTCTATCCAGACAACGACAGCGTATAATTAAATCATAAACTGCATCTCAGCACCGGAGCATCCGAGCTATGAGCTCAGCGACAAGGAATAAGAATACACACGTACATGGGACATATTCCTTAACCTTAGAACAGTCTTAAATAGTTGAGCAAAGAACGGCAATGACCTGGTCAAGCCCCCCTACCCCAAATCTCTTCCTGTCCTCCCCCACGGCCTGCTCTTATGAGTCCGGTTTGCCTAATACCGTCGATGCCCCTGGTAATGCCGTCCAGAACGTCAGGATGTTACAATGCATGATGTGAGGATGTGGAATAAAACATTTGATAAAAAAAAACAGACTGCATTTTCATAGGCTCGCACACACTTCATACCCATGCACAGGGGTAGTTCCAAAACAGGATTGGCATCGATTGGCATTTCCCCCCAAAAAATCGCGTGTGGTGCGGCGCGGCGTGCGGTATTGCAGTGTGGCGAGCGTGCGCGCTGTTCACTGTGGCACCAGCTCAGTGCGGGGCGTGTCCTGAGCCTCCATGGAGAAGACCGCCCCAAACTTGTGCGTGGGCAGAGCGGCGGGCCGGTTGTGCTGCGCATGCTGTCGGTAAGTGGCGCTCTTGGGCGTCCAGCAGAACAGGCTGACCGACTCCCGCACGCAGCGCTCAATGTCGATTTCTGAAAAAGTGGCCATGTTTTAGCAGCACGCCCCTGTGAAGACGGAGTCCTACCCAACATGCACACATTGCAATTAACACCAGCAGCAATTATGCATGTCATAAAAAATATATGACGCTTTTTTTTACCCAGGAAAACTTCACTGGGTCTCAATACTTTTTCAGGAAGATTCTGCAACTTTTTACAGTTGGGGGCGATCACGTGTGCAACTCCAATGAGTAATTAGCATGTAATTCTTCAGCAAATGAAAATTTTGGCCAAGATGGGAGGAAACAATGTAGAACAGGGGGAGAAAATACAAACCCCACACATAACGGTGTATGAGTCAAGAATCGAATCCAGGGTCCTCTTGCTTGGAGGCACAACTGTTATCCCCACACCACCCTGCCACCCAATACCAACATTACACCAAAGATATACTGGGAAAGTAAATGACAAAAGGAGATTTGTGTTTGCTGTTGCTGGTAAATGATTGCTGGCCTGAAGAGTTGAATTAAAGTACATGTCTCCACCAGTGCAGTGGTATAGAATGTGCAGTCGGTGGGGCATACTGTAGCGCACCAGTGGGCTGCAATATACCCGCGGCCCATACAAGCGGCATGCAGCGTAAGCGTGGAAGTTAACACTACTGCTGTAGAGCGCAAGAGACTAATCCCTACTGGAGGGCAGTCTGCGCTGTAGGGAGTACAAGGTGTAAGGTCCTCCAGGTGGAGTTTTTTCAGCGATGAGTCACCAAACTGGGTCTTCAGTACTCTACGCGAGTCGCGGTGCTGCAACTGCACACCTGGCAAGTCGGAGAAGAGCAGGATGCACTCGTTGAATCCGCTGAGCAGCAGACGCGCGCGCAGCTGCTGCAGCACGGCCACAGCCACGCAGAGCGGGAAGGCCGAACTGCCCAGGAGCAGCGTGTCCCACAGGTGGAACATTTTGTGCAGCGGGAACACGTCTGCGAGCCCACACACAGCGGCGCACGCCGTGCTTAAGTGCCGAGCGGCGACGTGGCCCGGCGGTAGCGCATTCGCCGCTTGTTGCAGAGGTTTGTGGTTCGAATCCAACGGCTGCCCTGATTAATTCTGCTGGTGTGATAACTGTAGAATAAGTGCATGTGCTTCATAGCAGACATTCATGATCCTGCGAAGTCGTTTGAAAAGAGTAGGCCATTGTGTGCCGTGTCATGGTCCAAATTTTGCAAACATTTTTCAAATTACCCACAAATTACTCAATTGGAATATACGTCGCGATTAATTTCCCTGCATGTGAAATATTGGCAGGACCCTGCTGAATAAGTCATGAGACTCAAAATAGGCTTTCCTGGATAAAGACGCGTAATAACAATAACATAAAACTCCTTCATGGCATCATTGTAAAGTGTGATCTCCAACTTTTATTTGGGTAAAGGACCACTGCCTGAAACATTACCCTCGTGTGCATTGCTTCTATTACGAGGCAGCATTAGTAATATATGATTACGTTCGGTACATTCAACAAAAATTAAGGTCAACGTCTCAGATAACCAGGCGAGAGCCCTGATAGACTCATCTCCTTTATATTGAGGTCTGTGAATGCACTGCTAAACATGGGCTGTTTTTTACTTTTACAGGTATGCTGGAGGTGATTTCTAAAGTTGGCTTGAGGCGATGACACAAGCACACAAAGGAATATTTTTTTGTTCATATCGCAAAGTCTTCTCTGTCTACTTTTAATCATAATGATAGATCATCTTAGTAATGCCCTGTAATAATTACTGGCTGGCACCACAAAAATGTAGTTGATTCAATTGTGTATTTGATTCGTCGAGTTAATCAACTGCGCATCCCAGTCTCCAGCTGACTTTACCCAGAGACGTTCAAGGGGGCTAATGGTTGACAGGGAGGCACAGGGCAATTGGGATCACGTGGGGGGGGGGGGGGGGGGGGTCAACACTGAGGGGACAGATAGGTGACTATAACGGCTGTGTTTCCAGCCAAAACTATTGAGTACATGGTATAAGTCTTATCTGCAGGGATGCTCACTGGACGCGGAGATACGGTGTTCCTATCAATGGACAAATGTGCTTGCGGGCTGGGTCACGCGAGCCTTTCGTTCCAATCTTTAGAAAATTTCCCCAAGCACTGTAATGGTTGGAGAGGCCAAGTATAACGCCATGGCAGAATTACACAGCCCTCGTTGATATTCTTTGGTTCTTTCGGTAAAGTCACATAGATAGAAAAATAATAATAAAAAGAGAAAGTGAATAGCCAATATTTTCAAGAAAAAATTTGAGACGGACGCCATCCAGGCATCCACTCTATGCCCGTCCTTGTGGAAGAGCTACGTGGATGACACGTTTGACATCTGGCCACATGGCCGACCAGCTTTGAACCAATTCCTCAACCACATCAATTCCATACACCCAGCCATCAAATTCACCATGGAGGTAGAAAAGGATGGCATGCTACCTTTTTTGGATGTCCTAATCAAAAAGAGACCAGATGGCTCAATGAGCTATTCTGTCTCCAGAAAAGTAATCCATACTAACGCCTACCTAAAACCCGATTCCCACCACCATCCATCCCAGAAGAATTCCCTCATCAAAATGTCACACCATAGAGCTCAATGTATCTCCGACCATGAACACCTAACCAGTGAACTCAAACACGTACACCAAGCCCTCAAGATGAATGGATATTCGGACTGCACAACCCGTAAAGCTGTCACCCCAACCGTTTGGAGAGAGCCATCTGAGGATCCAATCAAAACCATCACATTGCCATACATAGCAGGGGTCACCAAAAAGATTTCCAAAATCATGATCAAACACAAGATCCAGGTCCGATTTAACACAGTACATAAAATTTGTGATCTGATCCCATCTGTGAAGGACAAGATTCCTGACATGCAATACCCCGGCATCTACAAACTAAGCTGTATCTGTGGCAGCAGTTACATTGGGGAAACTAAGCGACATGTCTCGGACCGTGTTCGTGAACATAAGGCAGATTTGAAACATGGTAGGACCAATACTTCTGTCGTGGCTGATCATTATTTTAATGCGGCTGGCTCACACAAAATAGATTTCTCTAAGACGATGGAACTTTGCAAGCCCACTGGCTATCAACAAAGATTCGTTCATGAAGCCATCCATATATACAGACTCAAACACAATTTCAACCGAGAGGATGGTTATAAACCGAGAAATTATTGGAAATATGTCATCAACCACTTTGGGTCGTGAGTTGATTTGTGTTTTCTTATCGGGGGAGCACAATCAAAGTCATGACTTGATTTGTGTCGTTTTCTTGTTGTCTTGCCCCAGGGCACATGTGCCCCGCCCACTTCGTTCTGACACCGAGACTTTTTGTGGCACTGCATGTTCCGTGCTTCACATTGGTGCTCTCTGACCCCAGGGCACATATGCCCCACCCACTTTGTTGTGCCGCAGGAGATCTTGTGCCACGCCCATTTTTTAAACCTTTTTAAACGGTTGCCTTAGGTGACCATCTCCCTCTTTCCTCCTGAAGACGATCACTTGTGTTGTGATCGAAACTTCATGGCTTTTGTTTTTATCTTATCTTTATTTCGTATTATTTTTATTTTATTTTTTATTACTGAAAGAACCAAGAATAAGTCTACAGTCATAGACTGCCAGTACGCTCACTCAGGTTAAGAACCAGGCTACAGTATACATTCTAGACTGCCAGTACACTCACTCCGATTAAGAACCAGGCTACAGCCTACATTAATGTTCTTTTTATCATTTTTATTTTTATTCACTTTATTTTTATATCTACGTGACTTTACCGAAAGAACCAAAGAATATTAATTGCTGCAGTCACGAAAGCTTTCAGTAAAAATGTAGCCCTCGTTGAGTTTGTAAAATGAATAGTGATTCACATCCACAACACAAATTGTAGAGCACAGCACCGTTGATCAAGAGAGAGAGTGAACTTTAGGCCATCCATTATCTCTCCCAGAAATAATTGAAAATCTCTAGTAAAGGGAAAATTAGTTTTTTAGTTTACATGCACCAAGTACAATACTCTAATTCTAGATTTGAAGCTTTCGTGACTGCATGGATTCATACTCTTAGTTCTTTTGGTAAAGTCACGTAGGTAAAATTAATAAAAATAAAACAATAAAAATCACGACGTTTCGGAGGCAACACAAGCTTCCGTCTTCAGGTGAAACCGTCACAGCAAAATATCTGTACCTTATATAGTGGCTAAGGGGGGAGGAGCCAGGAAGGGCAGCGGGGGAGGGGGAGTTGTGAAGTGGTCAATTACTGCTTTTGTTATACTGCTGGGTGGGTAAATGAATTAGATACGATTAAGCCGCTCTTGGTTATGCTGTTTGTGCGCAAGTCACTGTGGGATGAATGGACTCGTGGCCAGGGACGTGTTGCGCAAGTAACTGTGGATGTACATAATAGAAAAGGGGCGGAAATGCCCATGTTTATACCAGTGTTGGCTGACAATAAAGAGTACTGTTAAACGTTAGGGATGTTAACACTCGGTGAAGTAAAATAGTGCCCGTCAGATAATATGGTCCAAAAATGTGTAATTAAATCTTTTTTTTTGCATGGTTGATAACATCTTTCCAATGATTACTAAGTTTGTACCCATCATCACGGTTGAAATTATGTCTGTGTTTGTATATCTGAATGGCTTCGTGTACAAAGAGATTGTTTTCTCCGAGACTAAGGTGCTCTGCAAGCCTTCTGGCTACCATCAAAGGTTTGTACACGAAGCCATTCAGATATACAAACACAGACATTATTTCAACCGTGATGATGGGTACAAACTTAGTAATCATTGGAAAGATGTTATCAACCATGCAAAAAAGATTTAATTACACATTTTTGGACCATCTTATCTGACAGGCACTATTTTACTTCACCGAGTGTTAACATCCCTAACGTTTAACAGTACTCTTTATTGTCCGCCAACACTGGTATAAACATGGGCATTTCCGCTCCTTTTCTATTATGTACATCCACAGTTACTTGCGCAACACGTCCCTGACCACGAGTCCATTCATCCCACAGTGACTTGCGCACAAACAGCATAACCAAGAGCGGCTTAATAGTATCTAATTCATTTACCCACCCAGCAGTATAACAAAATCAGTAATTGACCACTTCACAACTCTTCCTCCCCCGCTGCCCTTCCTGGCTCCTCCCCCCTTAACCACTATATAAGGTACAGATAGTTTGCTGTGATGGTTTCACCTGAAGACGGAACCTTGTGTTGCCTCCGAAACGTCGTGATTTTTATTGTTTTATTTTTATTAATTTTACCTACGTGACTTTACTGAAAGAACTAAGAGTACAATACTCTATATCGTAGCAAGTAAAAGAGTAGAAAACCCTAGGAAAACAAAGAGAAGGGGGAAACACGCACAAAGCGTGTGCACTCACGTGTGAACATGGTGAGGAACCAGGGTATGGCGTAGAGCTGCAAGAGATGCACCACACCGAGTCAGAGACACACCACACCAAGTCAGAGACACACCACACCGAGTTGGCACCATCCTTGGCTCACAACTCGTGCTGTGCGGGAAAGCGGTCCTGTCACAGCGGAACACAGAGCTCAGTCGCATCACAGTGTGAGAAGTCATATCACGGTTGGCATAGGAAATGGAAAGATTCCACAGTAAAAAAAAAATACATGTAATAATTCGGTTTCATTTTGGCACGCATTAAAACCCATTGGGCTATGCATTCTTATTTTCTATTGGGGATCTCGTCACAGCATAGATATCTTATTATGGGAAAAAACAAAGTGTGAATAAAGCTATCCAGAAACTACACCTGCAAATAGAAGCAGGCCCAAAATATCTCAAATGTTGCAACCTTTATTCTTTTACACATGTATATTTGAAAAGTCTCATTTTATTATATTTGTATGTAAGAGAATAAAACCCACTGTGGGGTTGTCCAGTTGTGTCAATAAATAACCCTGTTGTTTATGAAACGCTGCACATGAAATTTTCTGGCCTAGCCCATACGCAGATCTAATAAACATAGCACACTGAAAACAGTTCGTTCATGATTCGGAAGATGAGGGCCAACGAGCGACTCACATCTGGGATGAAGCCGATGCTGTTGAGGTGGTTGTTGAGCTCTGGGTCGTGGAAGGCAATCATTTGGGAGAACACCTTCAGGTACTCTGCAACAGCAAGCGCCCGGCCACGGAATGGAGACACAGAGAGGAAATTCACCACGTGGCCTCACAAACCATCCTCACAGGGCAATATTCTGGTTCTGTTCTTGCGTGCGGCAATATACGTTTAGGCGCCAAATGCCAATGCCGACGTCTGCGAGCCGCGAGGACACTGAAATACAGCAATCCCTTGCCAACCGCGGTTTTGCCAACCGCGGTTTCGAGTATCCACGCGGAATATTACGTCTACCGTTTTGCCATCCACGGTATACAGTTTCGCGTAACCGCTGTTTTGTTTCTTGCCGCCCGTGATTTCAAATCTCCAGCCGTGTTCAAGCATCCGCCACCAGGGGCGGATCAAGCGCCTATAACCACGCTGGCCCGCGCACAGTAGTCGTCCGCGTCGTTCAGTGTTGTGCAGCGGTCGTCAGAGCGTAGTGCTGTAATTTATAGCTGGTGAAAGTGTAGAGGCAGGCCCCCGGGTTACGGAAGAATTAGGTTTCCGAGAAATATCCGTAACCCGACTTTTCCGTATGTCGGAAACTGAACAATTTTCCTCCAAAATCAAGATGAAATCTCATAGCCGGAAATAGTTGCATCCTCCCCTATCCAACTACCAGCTAGCTTTCTCTCAGCACTGCATCACGCTGCCGTCCGTTTTCTATCGACATCTGTATCGTATCGCTGTACATTACACTCTGCACTTCCTATGATTCTTTCATTTGATCGAATACCTACCCTAACACCAGAGGCATAGCTAGGATATTTTGCGCCCGGGGACGAACTATAAAATTGGCGCCCCCCGCCCCCCCCCCCCCCCCCCGTTTAATCACATTTTCCTATTACATCGAATAAGGAATAACAATTTAAATTTTAATGAAACATTGTATTTAAAGAAGCAAATTAATAGAAATTATATTACATGGCTCACTCAGTGACTGTCGTAGACTGGTTGACATAGTCTACAAAAGATTAATTTTTCTTGATTTCACTGTCGCAAACTGGTCAATCACGTAATCAAAATCTGTTTTTTCAATGTTTCTCTTTCGACGCTAAGAAGAGCAAGATCGCTGAGACGATCTTGTCCCATTGAAGCACGCAAATACGACAAAATAAGTTTCAATTTGCTGAACGACCGCTCACAGCTTGCAATTGAAACTGCTATTGTTAATAAAATTTGCAGTGAAATTCGCAAATTCGGAAATATGTCGTCTCCATAAAACCAAGAAGATCCAAAGGAGTTTCTGGTAGAACTTCATTCCGGTTACTGAGCAGCATTTTGCAATCTCCAATTTCCGTGAAAATTTCGTGGCCATTGATGTCGGTGTCATAGAAATTTCCAAAATCTGTGCAATTTCGACGAATTGCATCGACATCTGTGTCGGATAGAAGAGTTTTGACGTCCAGCAGAAATCCAAATTTTGTGTTCAGGTCTTTTAGTCGTAAAAACCGTGTTGACATCTCCTGTTGAAGTCGATAAAATACGCTCTTCATAACGCGTACAATTTCTTCTTCTGCTGAAAGTCCTGCATCTCTTGCCAGTTCTCCTGGCATCTTCTGACATCGCCTAATTCTTCTGTCCACATCGATACCCCAGGCTGTGCATCTTGTTTTGGCGTTTTATACAGCAACTTGGCTCAAATCATCACGAAGCTTGACAAAATCATGCTCCAAAGATTCAAGATCAGTTACTGCTTCCTTGAAATTCATAGTAGGATCCTGTAAGCGCTTCTGAACACGGTCAATTTTTCGAAGAATGGCATTCCAGAAATGTAATATAACTATGAAGTAAAAATGTTATACGCATGCCTGTAACTGTTCTGCATCACTTCTGGTTTCAGGCGTCAGTTACATCCTCTGATAATTTGTCTAGCAGCCCTACTAGTTCATCCAGTCCTTCATAGATAGCTTTAACAGCTTCTGATCGTGCACTCCAGCGTGTTTCAGGCCGTCGTAGTTTCCGCCACCAAAAAACAGGCCAGTGACTAAGGCTGAAAGACTTTAGTCACTGGCCTGTAAGTTCTTAATAGGCGCGCGTACCAAAATGTAATTACATGACGTGTAGGCTGTGTGTGGCGGGATATATAAACTTTTAGGTTGAGGTGTAGATTTGTGCAGTAGTTTCAGGCTGCCGCGCCCGCCGCAATAAGTTATAATGTAACGCTGTAAGCCTCGTTTTGGTGCCACTTTACCTTGGCGCCCGGGGACATATGTACCCCCCTGCCCCCCCCCCCCTAGCTATGCCTCTGCCTAACACTACCCATAATTACACTAATAAAACATAGACTGTACTGTGTCCAATTGTTTATGAATATCATGCAGCATAGAAAACATTTAGGTAATGCTATGCAAGGAAAAGAGACGATGTGTAGAGTCTACTCAGGATAACAATGTAACAACCGTGACTCGAAGTGCTCTTATAGTACACCACCACCACCACCTTGGGGAATACGTGGCCCTGCCTGACGCCTCGCTCCGCGGCATTCATCCGCAACCTCACCGCGCTGCCTTATTTGCGCCAAAGTAACTAATGCAAACATGTGTGCGTACAGGAGTTTGATCTTTTTTTATCATGATTTATGGGAGCATTTCTGTAAAGTGGGATTTCCGTAAGTCGAATCTCCGTAACCCGGGGACTGTCTGCACTGTACTCATTGTACAATACAGTGCACTATCGGTCTAATGGACTAATCGGGGGAAGAGGTGTCCGTAGAATCCGATCGTCAGTTAATGGCCAAATTATGTATTTTGAGCACTAAATCACACCCTACCACACACAAACTACTTACTGGTAGTACATTAATGATAAATATAAAATATTGTAATGCTTTTCAAATTAAACAAAATGAACACATTACACAAGTGTAATAATGCCTTTACATTAATAATACAGTAATACATTGCAGTACTGTACTAATACTCTAATACAGTACTGTACATTCACACTTCCAAACATGATTTGAGTGGCGGGTACATGTAAAGCCTTTGTATTGTAACGCAATACCAACCCGCTGCGAGGAAACTGTTCAAGCGGCAAGCAATCGCTGCTCACCTTTGTCGCGATGTTACGTATACAATACGGTACAATGTTTTTAAAGACCAAAGTACAGTAAATGTATTGAGAAACCCTTTTTACACTTTGGTTCATCCTATTTTGACCTATTTTAAACCAAAAAAACCCACGTGTAGTATAATAAATATCATGTTCCCATTTAGGGAAAGAAGCGAATATTGACCGGAACGATTTCCCAATTACGGGACTTAGTCCGTTGTTTGGGGAAAAGTCCGTTGTTGTCCGATCTTCGGACAAAACTCTAATTCGTGTCGCCGCACCGAGCGACAAGTAAAGTATCAGAGAAGGGGTTTACCTTGTATGACGTTCGAGTTGTCCTTCATGAAGAAGTTGTGCAGGTATTTGGGAATGAAAGCAGACATGCAGGAATAAGCCAAGGCTGCAGAAAAAAAAAGCCGCGATGTTTGTCACCACATCCGCCGATACAATCAGACAACAAAGCACGGTCGTATGAGAAGTTACACCGAGGCTAACGCAATTAGTGTATGTGTAGTGGGTCCAGACGTTGTTCCTTTTAGAGGCAACACATTTAATTGTAACACAAAGGGGTAACTGCCCATTTACCAGATACAGCCTAGGGTGGGGTGACCACCCAGCTAACTACTCTATACAGAGGAGTCACCGCTACAAAGGGTCGGACCCTCTCACTCAGGTCCTCGACCACGTGGTTGCCTCGTAGGACGTAGAGCTTCCGTAGAACTTCCAGCTTGTAGAATGCAGCGACCCCGGTCCCTCTCAGGGACCCGCCTCATATCCCTCCCATGGGTCGGGGCCACTCCGCCCTTGGCCCCGCCCCCTTCTAGAACGTTCCAGCTCCCTCTCGATCCCTCTCGAGAGCTTTCCCCGGACACGTGATCACCCCCCAGCCCCCCCACCTGGGGGCCTCTGTGGACACTCCGCATCACGTGTCTACGGGGTCAACCAGAGTGCCATGGCCCAGGGCAACCCTGCCCCTGGGCTGACACTGTCCCCCTTGTGGGAGCCCCCACCACACGCCGTGCGTGGTGCCCGCGCTATCCCAGCGCACACCAAGCCCCGCTAGGGCTGGCACTACACCCACCTACGGGGTGTACGCGATGATGGTGCATCACGTGCCGTGGCCCTCTCAGGCCGGCACCATACAGTGACATCCCCGATGTCACTACATCTGCATTAACACCAATGACACATGCATACTCTAGGAAAGAAAAACCTACGCACCCAATGCATTGCTCTAACTGCTTAGCGTATTTATATGGATGTATGCTGAACTTCTTTAGCACCGTATGTAGCCAACCATGCGTATCGGAGATGCGGGATACAGTGGGATGCCCTGCAAACCAAGGAAGCCGCTGTTCAATTACCAACGTTTCTAAAGAAACACCACATTTGCTCTCCTCTGCGAGCCATCCCCCCCCCCCCCCGGCACAACATGACCGCACAGAACGAGGATTTGTTTTAGGTAGAGTAGCCCTCTACGCTGCGTCTCAGAGCGCTTCACACGATGAGTGACTTACGTTACATTTAAAATTTAAAAGCTGTGCCTGTGGGCACAAGGTGATTTAGCAAATGACTTGCAATTAGGCATTAGAGTGTGCCAGTCGAGGGCGATGACTGCTGCTGTGTGTCATCCCAATTGAGAGACGTTTTTCTGCAATCCATCGCTTTGCCACTGTGTCCTGTCACTTCACTCCCCTCGCCATCCCACCAAGTGCTCCACAGCGAAATATCCCCCGTGTGAAGCTGTGGACTTGCAATTCCTAGCCCCTATATATAAAATATCACATTCCATGAACCGTGAGTAACCCGTAGTGCAGCAAAAACATTGGCAATCCGCACCTTCATTGTTAAAGTTGAGGTAGAGAAATGGGGCGCAGAGCGAGTCAAGACCTGCAGAGACAGGGGATGAGAATGAGCTCGGCACGCCCAGCATGTAGATTTATTCAACGCACACAGACACGCATTGCGCGTACACAGGCTCTGGGATTGAGAAAACTGCGGCACCATCAGTGGGATGACAACACTTGTGCAACGTTGCTCGCTTTAAAGTGTGATCGATTGCATGTGTCCTAATGAATATATTCAGTATTTTACATAGGGCAGTCATGAATTTATCGTATTGTATTAAAATTACTTTCACTTAAGAAACAAAACACACATTAATTTTCACCCTTTGTTGTTGTTGTCGCCTCTATTTCACCAGGAGATTAGATAAACTGAGACGCACAAAACTGGGTTCCCTCTTTCGCAAGGGTGCTAACTGTTTGAAGGGCAAAGTGAGCGATCACCAAAGTTGTGTGTGCATCTCCTCAACATACCAAGTGCTACATGGGAGCTCAACATTTAAATGTGTAACCATGCACTCCAGGAAATACAATCACAGAAGCCACTAGAGGGTTGAGCATCCGTGGGAGAGTTCAGGGGGATGGCACTGTGGTCTGAGTCGTGAGGGTGCCAGTACAAATCCCAACTGTGGGTTGTCACTGACCATCATCTTTCTCAAGGACTGGTAAAATCAGTACCCCCATGGTAGTTGTCCAAATGGAAGAAACTGGCCGAGTGCCATGGTAATGTGGAATTTCTTTCACTTCCTCAGGGCCACACATGGACACATGTAAGGTAACGCACCACAAGCAACATTAAGCAACAGACAGTATCTTGCCAAGAGATTCATGTGTGTGTAAAGCAAAGTCTTGTGTACAACGCCTTGCTATTAGACCAGGGGTCTGTGCGTGTGTGTGGAGAAGGCTCGTGAAGGATGCTACTGTGCAGCTGGAGGCAATGGCCTTCGAACAACAAGTGAGGGTGGAGGAGCGGCGCTCACAACCGAGCGGAGTGGTGGGTGGATAAAACGCAGCAAGTTGGCACAGTGGGGAACACAAGTGGTGCATCTGTCAGTCATCTCGGGTAGTCAAACAATAACACCTGGGTCTGTCCCATGACCTCCTTCCAGCAGCAAGCCCTCGACAGTTCACATGGCCTCAAAGTTCACCTAGCCTGGCACAAGCGGCTGCTGCTGTTGCTGCTGCTGCTGTTGAGTGTGTTGCACAGAGAGTTGTGCACCTTGCCAGTAGACCAGGTGTGGGTGGGAGAGAACCCAGGCCTTGAGGATGCGCTTGAACTTGGCGTGACCCTCGGGGGAGGAGAGCAGCTCGTTGTACTGGTGGCAGCGTGGGATGTCCACCTCAATCTGCAAGCAGCACACACACGTACACACGCACACACGCACACGCGTGCGTACACACGTACACACGCACACCACACGTACACACGCACACGTACACACGCACACACACATGCACACACACATGCACACGCGCTATATGGGACGCGCACAGCACACCAAGCACGATATGTATACAACAACAAAAACAACCACACATTACGCACTCATTTCAATGCAGGTGGCAGCCCATTTAAATTCAAGGCAGACGTGTAAAAGAGTACAACACACTATTAAGAGGTAGGTGATACATATCAATGATTAACTATTTTAGCTTAAGCTTCAGTTAATATAATGCTATCCTGCTACAGGCTTGTATATGCACGTGTAGTTATAGTGAATAATGCATATGTCAATCACCAGCCCAGATAAATTAGAATAATATAATTGATTTATAGTATTTAATTTCAATCTGATTGGTTATTCCTGTGAGATCATGACATCTATTTAAGCCAGGTGAGGTGACACGGTGATTCTGACTTTCTAGTGATTTATCTTAAGATGTTTGCTAAACATCTTATCCCATTGATACATTTGGCTGTGAGAATTGTTGTTAAACTTGTATTACCGAGACAACCGAAACAATCATAATTGGCGCTTGTATACGTGACAATAGAATTGGATTGGCTATTTATGGTGAAGGATGTCACAATATAAATGTGGCTAGATCATTGCAGCCTAAACCAAGAAAAATAGAAATGTAGACTGATAAAGCAACTAATTTTATAATTATTTATTGTATTCATGTTTCTTATGTGTATTATTTAAAAAATCTGACAATACAAACATCTGTGATAAATCGTCAAAGAGATCAAACTCTGTGCGATCTTATTCTCCAGCCACGGGCTTCTGGAGCGAAGAAATGCTGCCGTGGTTTAGCACGGTTGGCTACGTACGGTGCGAGAGAAGTTCAATATACATACATTTTGATGACGTACATGTACATTATCGAACACGTAGGGTCATGAAGAAACACTAAGGCCATGATGGAGGGCATATGGCACAGTTTCGCACCAGCTATCATAGAGTGTGGTTGTGTCGCTACAGTTCTCTGCGGTGAGTACAATGTCTTTAAAAACAGCGGTACTATGCTGCACTAAATTTAATTAATGCCAACCGCTTGTGAGTTCCGAGATTCAGAGATGTCTCGGAATGGGAAAGGTTAATAGTAGTTGACTTTGTAACTTCTACTTCGTGAGCTTGGTGAACTAAAGGAGGAGTGGGGGCATCCAAGACTGGAAGCATAGAGCGATTCCCACCTGCCTGTCGGTCTGGATAGCGGTGTCCTTGTCAATGGAGTCGTACTTGGCTTGGATGTCTCCCTGCACGAGACAGGAAATTGAACGTACAATCCCATAAGTGAATAAAAGCAGACTACTAGCAGGTAGCACGGGACTTACGTAATGTACCGGCAGACACACGCGCAGTTACCTTACTCTGTGCGGGGGTCAGAGTTGGTTATGCTACCGTCACATCACAGGGAATTAAACTGCCAATCACAATAGCTGATGGTGGGGATCAAAGAGTCGATCCATTTCTCAATTACAATTCTTTCACCCGTGATAATGCATGCATGAAATGGTTCACATCAGAATGGATTACTCTTTGGTTCTTTCGGTAAAGTCACGTATAAAGATAAAATAATAAATTAATTAATAGCATACGATGTTTTGATTGCAACACAAGCAATCATCATCAGGTATAAATGAAATAGCAACCAAAATCTAACCAGAAAAGTATAGACAGACATATAAGCAGATAGATATCACCAAGATACATAGAGAGAGTAACACAGGCACAGAGAGGGAGATCGTCTCTGTGGCGAGGCCTTAAATAGACAGGGGGGGGCGGGGGCGGAGAGAGGGAGGGGTTAGAGAAAAAATTAACATGTCAATGAGTGCGGCGACGCGTGTCAATTACGCAAGCTGAACATTAGGGAAGAGGGAGAAAGAACACACTAAATTAAATAACCTAGCAAAATATCGAAATGTTATGTAATACAATACAGAGAGTCGGTCAACACACAATTAACACATAGCCTGGTCGATTACGTATTTCAAAGATTGGTAAGTTAGAATTTAAGTGTGAAAATTCCAAAGAGAGACAAAATATAAAACAAGAGGAACGGAGACACACAGACAGAGCAGAACATAAGAACGACAAAAAAACGAGTGGAGACAGAAAAATACACTAAATACACAGGCAGAGAGAGAAAACAAAAAACCCAGAGAGAGAGAAAAAGATAAACTTGAAACTTCCCCGTAGAAGTGGTTCAATCTTAAATTTGGAGCTTTCGTGACTGCAGGAATTACTCTTTGGTTCTGTCTCCACTCGTTTTTGTCGTTCTTATGTTCTGCTCTGTCTGTGTGTCTCCATTCCTCTTGTTTTATGTTTTGTCTCTCTTTGGAATTTTCACACTTAAATTCTAACTTAGCAATCTTTGAAATACGTAATCGACCAGGCTATGCGTTGTGTGTTGACCGACTCTCTGTGTTGTATTACATAACATTTCGATATTTTGCTAGGTTATTTAATTTAGTGTGTTCTTTCTCCCTCTTCCCTAATGTTCAGCTTGCGTAATTGACCACGCGTCGCCGCACTCATTGACGTGTTAATTTTTCTCTAACCCCTCCCTCTCTCCGCCCCCACCCCCCCCTCTGTCTATTTAAGGCCTCGCCACAGAGACGATCTCCCTCTCTGTGCCTGTGTTACTCTTTCTATGTATCTTGGTGATATCTGTCTGCTTATATGTCTGTCTATAGTTTTCTGGTTAGAATTGTGTTGCTATTTCATTTATACCTGATGATGATTGCTTGTGTTGCAATCGAAACGTCGTATGCTATTTTTTAATTAATTTTTTTATCTTTATACGTGACTTTACCGAAAGAACCAAAGAGTAATTCCTGCAGTCACGAAAGCTCCAAATTTAAGATCAGAATGGATTATTTATTATTTATGTACATCATGTGTAAAGTATATGCTAATTTAACACGTAGGCTTTCGCGACCAATATTATTCATAATATAGGTTTTTGGGTCAGATCGCGTTATTTATAAATGTGTCGTAACCCTCCACCACCCGACACGGCCAAACAGTAAAAAAATGTGTCACGTTTTTCAAAGGACAAAATTATTCACTTCTTTAGCCCACCGGTGTGCTGAAGAGAGAATCAACATCATTTTGAAATTTGAGTAGTACGACGTTTCACTGATAATTACAATCAGCTTCATCGGGCAAGAATGGTGAAGCTCTCCTGTTGCTTCCGTTCTTAAATAGAGCAGCATCAGGGTGACGTCATCATTTAATTCAATTTAATCTGGTGAGGTGATATTTAGGCTCATAGATTAAAGAAAAGTGGACAAACCCGACTGAGAAATTAATGGTTATAAAAAATATAAATAATTCTGGAATTTAATCGCTGGGAGATGAATTGCTAGTCAAAGCCCATACACGATAGCTGACGTGAGATATAAGCCGTGTGATCGGTCACTCGAAGCTTCCGTGTCACTGGAAAAATGAGTTTGGAAACGACCTCGACGCCGAGGATAGTGGCCCAGATGAGTCCACGCAGCAGCGGAGGGATGTCCACGCGTGCCTCCTTCCAGATGAGATCCTTGCGGTGCGGGTACGCCTACACACCGCAGCAACACCGAACGCAGCGTAACCACCAAGCCAAGTCGAGGTTCAGATGTAATCAAAATCAACCGGTTACCATTCAGCCAGTTCAAAACGGTCTCGAAAGGTTCAGTTCCCGTGAACCATTTAGTAAAAAGCAGTCTGCAAATGGTTAAAATTTTCATATTAGCTCAAAAATAGCAAAACTAAGAACGACAGAGTAGGCTACACTATGGAAATACAGATAGCAGCAACATCGCCCCGTCCTGCAACAAGTTGGCAGGACCCTCCTGAAAGAAAGTCTTGAGACTCGGTGAGGCTTTCCCAGGTCAACAAGCATAATAAAGATAATGATAAAGAATGAGAAGAATTCAACCCAATGGAAATGTTACAACCGCGGTATAAGAAATCCTGACGCTAAACCGAACGAGGATTGGATGGCATCTCGTGGCAGTTCGCTGGGGATGTAGCTCAGTGCCACAAAATTTACAGAGCGCCCTGAAACAATCGTTCTCATGGGGCACCTTGAGGAGTCGCTGGAAGAGGAGGATCCGGTGGAGTTGGTGTTCCGTGTCCTTCTCTCGGATCACCAGCGGGAGACTCGCCGAGCCGGCCAAGTCATAACCGCTCCCTGAGGGGGTGAGCGCCACTCCTCTGGCACGCACACAGAGGCAGCCAAACACACACACACAGACCGTATATATATACAGATAAAGACAAAGATCTCCCTATAGCCTTCGACACTGTTGGGGAAAGTGCTGCTAGCGAGCTGCTAGCGAGCAGCACTGCACCAGGTACTCATTTGAGGCCGAGTTGACCTAGGGGAGGCCCAGGACCGGTTCAGAGAATCATCACTGGTGTTGGCCATGAGCGGGAATTGAACTCGGGTGACTGGGTTCATAGTGCAGCATACTAACCACTGCGTCAACACTCCCCACATATGTACACCCTTCCATATATTTACATACATTCACAAATATGAAAATGCACATATATATATGCTTGTGCACAACCAATTAGTTAATTTAAGCAGGAGAGAATCCAAGAGGCCAGGATGAGTCTCATCTGCAAGAGTGACCCAGGGCATTACGCTGCCAGTAGGGAGCGATGATTGCTATGTATAATCCCAATTGAGTAATCTGCGCGCAATAAAAAAATGTAGACCCAGACGCCCGCCGGTACAAAATAGCCGACTCTAGCGAATTACGTCAGCCCATCTCCAACATCTACTTTGAGGCCGACGGCACCGAGTATTATTGTGGTGAACGCACCGGCAATAATAACCGGGGTGGCCGGGGGATTCAAACCGCGAACCCTGCAACAAACGTGGCGAGCGCGCTACCGCTTGTTCGCGTCACCCACCGTGCGGTACTGCGATGCAAAATCCACGATTCACGAAAACAAGAATCGTTT